GAGAAGGTATGGATAGAGGTGAACTTCCATTCTTTGCTGAATGGACTTCCCCCCCCAGGAGGCACTCCTGAGGAAGCCAGAGAGTATTCCATGGCACCCTGGTTGAGAAAGGTTGGTGTAATGCGCTCGTGTGGCCAGTCTATGGACTTACACATTTTTAAAGGAGAACTATGAGGCGAGTGATATTCACTCAGCCTCATAGTTCTAACCGACCTCTGACAATGAAACTAGGACAGGTTGGCTCAATAGATCAGGAAGGGAGCAAACACATACCGGCGCTCGCTCACTTCTCGATCCTGTCCCTGCAGAGAGCCATGACTGTCTGTCACTCACGGCTCCCTGCAGGGATTCCCCCCCTCCCCTGTCCGATCCTCCAGCGCTGACTGGCAGAATGGATGGGGGAGGAGGCGGGTACAGCTCACTCTGCCTCTGGATAGGCAGAGCCAGCTGTCACTCACGCAGCTGGGTGGATTCAGACAGTAATGTCGGGATCTGTCCCGGCTGCAGCCAGCTTTTGAGTCACTGCTGGGAAAGGGAAGCAGTGGGAGCCGAGCTGCTGAGGAAAGGACCTCAATGCTTCTACAGTGAACCATGAGGATGTATTGCTTCACAGTGCCTGCAGCTACAAATATGAGGGCTTGTTTAAAAGCTTGTTTACTGCTTGTTAATAATAAGTAAATACACGAATGCCCATAGCCTGGTTACATATTCACAATAAAGTGAACCTGTCATCCTTTGAAAAACAGATACTACAAGGTTCCTGCTGATACAGATACCACAAGATACCACAAGGTTCCTGCTGTTATTTGTTTTGACCATAAAAGCATCTTCAGTGCCCCATCTGAGATTGCTTTCAGGTTGCTAGTAATTTATGGCCTAAGCCTAATCCTGATGCTAAGTGCTGCCCATTAGGTCATCCCTTGACCACTCAAAAGCCCTTATTGGCTGGCAAGGCACTTTCCTTGCACGGGGAGTTCGCAGGTATGCAGGTTTTAGTGCCATGTTCACAGTCGTGGAAGTTCAGGGTTTCACAAGCAAATTGTATCCACTGACTATTCTGAGGCCCAGTTTGGGGAAAAACTTTTCCTTCTGCATGCTCCGTAATGGTATAAATTTGAGTATGCAGCTGTGAGAAACTTCCGGGAATTGTGGTCTTTCGCCTGCAGCATTGAAATGACTTGTAGTTCGGTCTTTCCATCGAGATATTAAGTGATTCATGGTCCTCCGAGAATTGTGAGACCAGCAGCCAAAAAGTATTATAAAATATTGGCATATACTGTACTATTCTCCCCGTTTCTATGCAACTATGTTCTTGCCTGTTCACATAACATTGTGCGTCCTTTAGGTCTATTTCTGACCCAGTTTCTACTGTTTCCTATAAATCTGTACACCCTCAAGCTGAACTTCAGCCTGTCTTGTTTAATAGTCTTTGTCAGAGACAAAGGAGTGAAAGGTCACTCTGTAGCTCTAGGCAAGATATGATTTACGACAGTCAGAGGAGGTCCATGCATGCATTATAATTAAATATACATGGACAGCATCATGTGCACACATGAAAACAAAAGTCCGCCAAACTCCTCCATGCAGATCTCATCTCTGAGCATTACCCTGATAAAGACTTTTAGGACATCACCTTTATCATTCATTTGATATCAAAAGCACGGCAGTAAAATAAAGAACCCATAGCAGATCCTAGCGATGAAAGCTGGACATGAAAAATAGATATGCAGAGGTTACCTATTGTAAAATCTGCTTGTCAAAATGATTAGAAGATCCAGACAAATAGGCAACTGACGTTATATGCAAATATCAACACCATCTTCCCATCCTGAAGTTTCCCCATTAGCTTCACTGATGAATAGGAAGGCTCAGGAGGCTCTTGGGAAGGGGGCCAAGCTCAGGTTTTACAGGATATGCCAAGATTTGTAGTGGAGTGCTAGTGGTGACCCAAGATATTAGGGGGCTGCGACGATTGAAATGGGGCTTCCTGGTATTCCAGATGAGCAAATTTCTCTTCAAGGGCAAGGGTTGGGGAGATATCTGCCCATCCGCAAATGACTTGCCTAAGTGCTGATTGTTGTCTGATACTGATAGTTGTGCATGCATGATACATGCTCCCTTCCTTTGCTCTGTAGTAGCAGGAGACACCCTTGCAGTTAACTCGCTAACTTGCCTCTGTTATTCTCCAGGAACCAGACATGGTGACATAACCGTAAGTAGTCCAGTCCTTAACATACTCTAATTTTTTAACATTCAGCCTTTGATAACTACTGCCCTCAGATCACCCTGCACTCTGCATCTGTTAACCCAGGCAATGGTATTGTCTAGACCAGTGGTTCTCAACCTGTGTAACCGCAGGACCCACATTAGTCCTTGGTCATTAAATCGTGACCCAAGTTGCACTGCAATGGAGCGCACGGCATTGTGGTACAGCGCGTTCCAATTTAGGCGACAGAACTGTGGGTGGGAGATGCGTTTGGGGGTGTCATTTAAATGAATGACAATTCACTACACCTCCCACACCAGAATGCACGGTAGGTGCGATTGCGTGGTACAGTGCGTTAATCGCATGGGACTGTGCGATTAACGCACTGTTCTAGTGTGAATGGGCTCTCGAAAACACTGACAGACACACACAACCACAGACACAATCACACACACTCAGACATTCTCACACACACATACACACTCCAAAAAAAAAAAAAGTAAGTTTTCTTTTCTTATCATTTTTAAATCCACCCAGTCTCCCTACCTGACGAGAACTGGAGTGGATCCTCAGCCTGTGCTGTGAAGGAGCTCCATCCATATGAGCATCCACTTGTACAGCTCCCTTACACTCCCTTACTCCTTTCCAGGCACTTCTATAGAACACGCAAGAGAGCTGTAAGCAATGCACTTATGGATGGACCTCCCTCGTGATCATAGCCCTACCCCCCCCCCCCCCCATCCCAACGCAACCACGCTTTTTAAGAGGCTGG